AGTTTTAATAAAATGACATTCAAAATATATATGACAGTGTTTGTTATCCAATGATTATCATCTGTTTGAGGTAGTAACAATTTAAGATAAGTTTGGTGTGTGGGATGGGGGGGGGGTTAAAGTTTGGCGAGATAGGACCAAAATGAGATTTGTCATGTGACCAGTGTTTCATACCTGGTCACAGACTAGTTTGCATCCCTCAAGGTACGTGATCCTGACATAATACCACCTGGCCCTAACTACCCTGGTGTCCTGCTGTAGTTGAGTCTAATATTAGAGTCGAAGTTTAAGTGGGTAAGACTTGAGTCTTGGTATTATAAATGGAATGTGTGATTTGAGTCAATTAGTATTTAGGAATACTTCTAGGAATACTTCTAGGGGTCTGAGCCAAGAAAGAACCGAGAACAGACATCACGGCATGACRCTGGATGAAGATTGACAAGCATGTTTTGACAGTTGATCTAGTTAGTTGTATTGATTGACGGTTGCCATGCAACGATTGAGATACTTTCTCTAAACCATTGGCCAGCTGCTGGTTAATAGCTCATTTAAGAATTTGACGTTTTTGACAGGTGTCAATCATATAACTAATATATTACTGTGGCTCAGAGTAAAAGAACTGCACTAATCATTGTCACTGACATTAGTTGTATAGCAGCCTTCAACATGAATGGTACTGAAATGAGCGAARTAGAAACTCAAGCGATGACTGCCAAAGAAATGCGCTCACTGGCAGATAAACTACCACGATTTACCTTGCTCAACAAGGAATTCTTAATCTATCGCGAGGTTTTTAATCCAGAAATCGGTCTAGAACAGACGGAATATCTAAATCAAGAGATGATGAAGCTTATTGACGAAGAAAAGGTAAAAATCCCGAGTGAAGGAACGYTGGATTTCCTCGAAGTAGGTTGTGGTGCCGGGTACACGTCTGTGCTGGTCGCCTTGGCTTCACCGAAATGCCATGTTCTGGCCACGGATATCAACGAGGCAGCAGTGAACAACACAAAAGAGAATTCAAAACTCCATTTAGTAGAAAACCAAGTCAAGGTTTTGGTATCTGATGTTTTTAATAACAAAGAAATCAAGGGGAAAAAGTTTGATATAATTTACTGGAACATTCCYTGGGCTGGACAATGTACCGACACATGTCCTGAAGGMGATATTCTGCTGCAAAGCCTTATTGATCCCGGATATCGATGCTTTCGACGTTATCTCGCAGAGGCAAGCACCTTTCTSAAGACTACGGGACGACTGCTTGTTAGTTTTTCCTTTAACATGGGCTCAGAGAAGCTTTTCAAGCGAGTCGCTAGCGAGACAGGATGGGATTTTGAGGTCATCGCAAGTAAAAACTTTCCTTTTGARGTTGAAGGAGGCATCGTTACTCAAGAGCTGGACGTGAGCGTCGTTGAACTTTTCAAGAAAAACAAATAACTTGAATCGTATTTCGATTAGTGGATTGTATCTGCTTAGTTTTTCCAGAATCAAAAATAAATGTGAAAAATATATTATAGCGTGGAATATGTAAAGTGACGGTGGTTTTCTCGCGGCCTAGTATGTTTTAGCAGACTTCACAGACTAGCCCAATGCTGCAATTCTTGCTCTCATAGAATAATCCAGTTTCGAATTCTCCAATGCTCTGTGTTAGCCTCATTTGTGCGCAAAATATTCCTAATTGTGAGAATAAAAGTGTGAGATTTCAAATCAATTCTATTGTCTTTCTTTTCAACTTCCATGCGTTTTCACAGGCTATCAATGAAACAAAAGAATATGTTACTTGGTTTTGAGGCACAAACAAACACAAAGCAAATCAGAACTCGAAATTGGAGTATTCTATTCCTAATTACAGACGTTATGGTAGCGCATAGTTAATAGTTAACTTTGGGTAGCGTGAGGTCTAGAATATTCTGGGGCATGGTGCCCTAAAAACCCGGGGAGAGGTTGGGATACCAACTTGTACGGGRTGTGCTGGCAGGACGTCAAACCCTTACCCTATCCCAGACCTAAATTTTCGATTTTGCACACCCTTTCCCAGACAAAATGACAAAAAAGGATACCTTAAATCCCCCCTCCTCCTAGTCTACCTAGAATAATAGTACTGAATTTTGCTATTCCTGTGCCAAGTCTACTCGATCATTACTCAGTTTTGATCTTAAAAATATTTGCTGTAGTCAAATTTGCCGAAATTAAAGCTATATATTTTAACGACAGAGTGATGCGGAAAATCTAAAGGTTTCAAGTACATATCGGCTTCACCGATGCAATAGGTTTCACGTCGTTCAAGAGACCAAGTAAATGTCTGTCATCAGTTTAMGTGTTCAATTTCCTGTGACAAGAATAGCGGAACACAATCATCATTATTGTGTCTTGTGTTGCGTTCCCTTGTTCTCTGATGTCTTCCGCCAGACCACATGAGTTTWGTCCAGTCAAAGATGACAAGATGATATGGTTATGATTCTAAGTTTGGCTGCACGCTAGGCTACACTATAAGGTGGGAAGCCTGCGTAGCGCCTCACGAGGGAGGGGAGAGGCGGCAACGGAAAGGGAGGTGTTGGGGGAAAAGGGGAAAAAACCTTCAGCCACCCCCAGGCCTCCCACTTCCCTAGAGACGCTACTGAGGCTAACTGGGAAGACTTCTGGTTTGAGCTTTGCTGAGATATCGTCCTTTGTATCGATTCGTTATACGAAGTTTGCAAGCTAGTTTTTTTCTTACTAACTCACTGTTACTGGTTCAAGTGTCTTCAGTGTAGTTGTAGAACTTGATTATTCCGGCGCTCAAGGAAAAAATGGAACCTCCTACTTCGCAATGCACTGTGGGAGTCAAAAGTACACATATCAGGACATATACCTCTGACTTCGTCACGTATGCTGACGTCGAAAGTTCGAGTGATGTTCATGGATCCTGTAAATCGTTTGAATCGTATATCTTTATCCTCGAAACGTGCCGGCCAATCGACACGTCCCAGGAGTGAAATAGATAAACGTAGAGCATGTGAACAATTCTCTCTCCCCGGATCCCAGCGATATTTACTATATGGGGACGGTAGGCCAAGACCTTGAATACTAGGGGTGTACTTTCTATGTTTATCAATCTTGTACAGGTCATAATGAAAAAACAACGACATGTTGACATCTTTTACAGGAACACTAACTTGTTAATAGAGTCTTGGATAGGCGGTCTACATTTTAAAAATTACTAACACTTTTTGATATAGTAACGCACGCTCTGATGGGCCGACTGACCGTGTTTACATGTATCAGAGGACAGACTACAGGGCTTATCGGCAAAATTTGCAGAAAAAAACTTATAAAAGAACCATGAAACGAGGACCCGCTTTTGCTGTAACTCCGAGTTTCGTGCTACGCACTCATCAGACAGTATTGTCTAATCAGTCAATCTATGGTTGCAGCCGAAGGGCTGAACTAGAATAGAAGTTTACAACAATAAATATGAAAAATGTAATACACTAATAATAATATACGATTAAAAATACAAAAAGCAGAAAAAAAGTTATAAATATGTCTATATACAATTGCTATATAAAAAATAAGTTTTTGAGTCTGTTGGTCTTGCAAATTCACACTCAGACTACTTGCAAACTAAGCTGACTGAACAAACCTACCTCTGTACGAACTATAAAACGTCTATTTTAACCGGGCCTATCCCAGACAAAAAACCATACACTATCTCAGACAAAAAAAATACCCTACACACTAGACTCAAAAGCCGAAAAACCATATCCGTAATGTTACAAGCGACGGTTCAGTTATGCTGTAGATGTTGAAACGAGTCCAAAGAACCACTGATCTAGCCAAATTCCTTCTGAAAGCATGTTTTAATATATTATTGTAATTTAATGATGCAAGAAATGTCTCATGAACATCGCAATCCGTTGTTTATTGTTTTCTTTCAATGAATTCAGGTACAATATGAAACAGAAACGAAAATATGTCGAAACACGCGCGGTAACTGCTAACTGCGGGCTACCTTTTGCTTATTTAATAAAACCGCATCACAAAGCGCGGGCTCACGGCTAACAACTTGATGCAGGCAGTGGTTGCAAATATTTTACCTCGAAYCGCTTACATTGTTACACTTTGATCATAATAGGCCTTTTCGCGGTTAAAACGAAAGCTATCCTGCGAACAGAGGATTTTCCTTCTATGGAAGAAAAGGAAAAGTTATCTGCAAGTGCCTCGCGAAACTTGTAGGGGGGACTTCATTATTTTCTGCTAATGAATCGTTCACCGAAAGCATCACAACTGGCAATAGCAAAGTTTCTTTTTAACTGTTTGTTAAATCGTCTAGAAAGAAAATAAAATAAATAGAATCATTGCAATTATCTGGACGATTCAATGTATCTATAGATGGTGCAAAGAACCAAGTAAAATCTTCTGTCTGTCTATGGTGTTAGGAGGCGCTATGCTGAAATTTAAGATGACCTTAAAATATAGGAAAATATTTAGCTTAACTTTAAACATTATAAGTGGATTAGTTACGAGACGCCATTCTGACATTTTGTAGGACTTTTGGTAATAGCAAAGTAAACGTTACAAGTGGATTAGGGAAGGCCAAGGCTAGGTATGGGTGGTCGCGCCTGGAACGAAGATCGGCCAGGATCGGGAGTCGCCGTAGTTCACGCGTCCAACCATGCCCAGCCTGGCAAATAGCATGAATCACGAATAATGGTAAAATAGATGTTTTAAGAAAGTAATTGTAGATATACTTTTATATTGGAGAGCTATATGTGGTACCATCAGCCAGGGGCACATCCCTGGGAAAAGGACCTTTCCCAGGAAAAGGAAAGGATTGGCTGCAAATTGGTGTGTGGTAAATTTTAATACCCCAGGTAAAAGTCGTAAAACCCAAACACTGTCTGATTGTAGCACATATAAGCCGGACAGATTTGTAGAAGAAGTTAGAATAGAATCGAATGAGACTGAGATGACAATAAAAGAACCAAAGAACACAGAATATTGAATCCACGGCCCCTAACAATGGCATGCATAAGATTGCTGAGGAAAGAGAAGGCGGAGGAGGCTGCATGTGAACGAGGGTAATTAAAAGTATTTTTTCATCAACATGCATTTCGGAACATCGAGTGTCATCGGCCAGGCCCTTTTCATGGTTTTTGAGGATTCTGCTCTAAAACCTTATTCGTTTCTGTGATCCAGCCATTTGTCAGYGGTCTGTTGCAGCTTTGGACAAAAACCCGATCAGAATACTGTAGATTGTGGAAGATTCTAGGCGCCATATTGTCGTCCGCTCACATGCCAAAAGTGCAGGCTCTGGGTATGAAATTCCTTTTGCCTGTCTCGCTCYCATCTCCACCCAATCTCCTCTCCCTTGCCATCAACAGGAGTYGCGAGATGACCAAGTTGACGGAGAAGATTTGGCGGGCGGTCTTGATACATGTAACAAAGGCATGACACAACACTGAAATGAAAACCGAACAACACGGTCAGACTGACGAAGTAAAATTGCGGAGATTGATATTCAAGAAAGCTTTTAGCTTTCTCTAAATCATTTTTATTTTTATTGGTGCAATTAACTAAAGTAGGTTTTCACAACAGGTGAAGGCCATTTTTAAAATATAAAGTAAACACTTCCGCACAGAAAAAAAAATGAAAATATCATCAAACGAAAGCAACGAAAAGGAAGAACGCAAGTAGATGAGGAAGATGGGTTAATGAATTATTATTGCGACTATATMATTGCGGTAAGAGTGAATGCTCATCACAAAAATAGGCGTTAAAACGAACCAGTGAAAAACAAACCAGCAAGAAAATGAATAATGAATGCCTATCGTTCGAGCCGTGGAGACTGAAACCGATAACAACTATTAATGACAACAAATGAAGTGCTACACTGACACTTCCGATCAAGTTTAGTCTACATACCGCTTATGTCAGTCTATTATTAGACAAATCACCCCACAGCGACATGAACACAATTTACCTAAAGCCTGGAAACATGGCTTTATCAGATGCCATTATCTAGAATATGTCTCATAGTGGTCGATTGTTATTAGAAATAGTTAATTGTTTGACGTCATCATTGATAGCTGGCCATATGACGTCATTATTTACAGATAATTGCCGACTATCTGACCTGTGGGGGRACGGCAGGGGATGATAGGAAGACTTCARTTTGAATGAAATTCTTGTCAAATTTACTATAATGAAGTGTAGTTCAGTCATTATCCCTTTGAAGTCTAAAATCACCCGGGGACATTCGATGGTCAGTATTATAAAAACGTTTTGTATCAACTTTAATTTGATTGATATCAAACACCATGATTTTTTTATGAAAATAACTAAGATATCGAAGCAAGTGGCGGTTCTCAACCTGACTCCGCACCCTTTAATGTTTTATAGCAATCCGATTGTAAACYCACAAAGAAAGCGGGAAAATAGATGGCAAATGTCGGCAAAATACACGACTAGAGGAACGTATATCAGACAAGGAAATTGCCGATTAATCATTCATAATTTAATGAGCATATCAAAAAAGCAAAGAAATAGCCCACAAAAACCTATCAATTATTGCCGGGAATTTTAAAGCTCTGGTTACTATGCCAACGGCCGACGTTGGTTCATTATTGGCAGTCTGAGTGGTGGTGTTTTCATTATGGTTCACTGATCGAATGTTCCCAGTCAAATACTGATAAAATGTTTCCCTAAAATCAAGATGGGCAAGAAAAACAGTAAACTAGAGCCACAGCTTGTGCAAGAGCTCGTCAACAAGACTTACTGTAAGGGTTCCTTCGTAGTTAATGAGTGCTTTTTTAATTAATCGGTTTGTTTGCCTAGGTTAAAGCGTAGACATCATTGTAAGTTCATAGTTCCCTTGAAATACTTCGTATTTCATTGAGTATACCTATTGTAAATCTATGTTTTTGTTGTAGTTTCAGAGAAAGAGCTTCAACAATGGTAAGTAATCGGCGCCATTACGACTTGTGATGAGGGTTGTGCTTCTCAAATCCAGTACAAATAAGAATATATTTCAGCAAAATCCATTTCAGATATGTTATAATTTTGTTGTTATGTGTTCTAGGTATAAAGGTTTTCTTAAAGATTGTCCAACGGGCTGTCTTACGGAACAGGTAGATCTCGTTATGCATGGTCACTAGACTATTTACGTTCACGCTGAATTAGCCAGTTGGACACTCTATTGATACAAAAATTAGGCTTAAAAAAAAAGAGCCAATTATAACATTTACGATATGTCTTTTTTTCCCTAGGAGTTTCAGAAGATATATAAACAGTTTTTCCCGTATGGTGATTCATCAAAATTTGCATCGTTCGTATTTAATGTCTTTGATGAAAACAAGGTACGGTATATTTAGATTCAAACCTGCTGGCGTAATGACAAAAAACACGCATTTGTTTACAAATATAGTTTTTCTCTTGACTTTCAAGCCCTTTTGAGCACTTCTTTGACGTAATAACATTTCCTGTAGAAATGCTAGTRTATGAGTGATTTTTTCTCGCATCGTACTGAAAGCAGGCTTAAGTCTTCACATTCAAAACAAAGATTAACATCGCATTGAAACTCATTCGAATACAACACATAATGATCTCTTTTTGTAATGAACGCAAAATTCAAAACGGTTTGAGCTTAATAGAGAATGAATAACCATTTTGTGTCTTGGAAGGTTTTATATAATTAATAACGATGTTAATATTTTTACGTACTAGCTTATTAAACCGTAATTGGCGGTCAAGGCGCATCTTAAAAACAACACTTTTTGACATGTTTTTCTTCAGTTTGTGGTGAGATTTGGAGTAGGTCTTTTGCTTGAAGGGATATCTGTGATTTTCCATCAGAAAAGAAAATGTCCCTTTTTTTCTGCTATAAATAGTGTTCATGATAAATGCTTTTTGTTATTTTTAGGATGGCCATATCGAGTTCCGCGAGTTTATCTGTGCTCTATCGGTGACATCAAGAGGCAGCATTGACGAAAAACTTCAGTGTAAGAACACTTTAAGCTTTTTATTCCTCATTTTGAATCAGTTCTATTAGGGGTTCAACCGCAACAACTTAGTTAGAGATCGTAGCAAAGCTCTTAATACRTTTGTTTTCAACGYTATTTTTCGAGGCAACAACAAGTTAATGGACAACTGCGTCAACAGAAAAATCGCGCAAGATTAGCGCTCAAAGTCTTCAAGATCGATTTCACAAGCAGTAATTTCCATCAAGAATTGTAAATGCTTTCAAAAATACCGAAAGGAAAATTGCTGTTTATTAATTGATCAGTCGGCTTTAGAAAAATAGAATTTGGTAGACAATTTTGAAAAATTTACGTAGTTCTCAGAAAGGAAATAAATTTTTAAAAGATGTTTTTTACATAGACAATTTAGCAGGTGTGTGGAACAGTTGGACCCCCAGCCTCATAGTGATTTAATTATTGAAATCACGACAATTGCAATCTTGTTCTACCGTGCAATTATTTCTGAACTTCWTTTATATGCTGCGGGCTGTTAAATAACATAGGAAGAGTTTCGGGTCGTTTTCATGTTACACGATACTCAAAGCGCGCGACGAGCGGGAAAAAAAGGATGGAAAAATAACAAAAGCCAATTTTATAATAAATGAAATGAAATRAACGAATAGGTTGTTGAAGAAGCTGTAGTCCAATGAATACTTGGAATTTAAACATTAGGAACATGAGCGCCTATTTTGCCCATCGAAATGAAAGTACAAATCAATGTAAATTAACAGTTTTTTTCTTTTCTTTTTTTTTTTTTTTTTTGCTGTCATCCTTTGGAATGAGCAAACCATCAAAGAGGGAATTTGTTTTTGTTACAAAAATAGTCTTATAAAAATCACCGCATGATATGTTCCATCATGTCGTCGTCGTATTATCGTTATTTAGTTCCCAGAAGAGTAGATATAGCGTCTAGATTGGCTCTAATCGACTGACACAACATTGCTTCATATCCCTCGTGAATCAATAAAACTGACAAAATGGCGCCACTTGACTCTTGAAAGTRAAAACAAAATTCCTTAATTATTGCTATTTTTATAAATAAAATAACGATACTACGTCGACGAATCATATTCATCACTTATATGGCAAGTATGAACTGATATGCAATGGATAGTTGATAGTTAATTAGCCAATCATCGCCCAAGGAATATCACGGTAAGAAAAAAACACCACGAATTGCAAAAAGAGTCGTTGACAKAATAAGTTAACATATTTTGACTACATCGTCAAAGAAGCCATCAAATCTAATATTCCGTGGTTTACAGGGGCGTTTAAATTGTACGATCTCGATGACGATGGTTACATCACTAAGGAAGAAATGCTRCACATTGTTGATTCCATCTACAAGATGGTGGTGAGTTAAAATCGTTTATCGTAACTGTGTTCGATAATCGCAACGAATTGTAAACTAGACAATCTGTACTATAACCGTGCTTGAGTGACAAAATTGTGTATGTACCCTAGCCGTACCATTTACATAACCGTAGCAGTATCGTAGTACCAGGAACGTGTAACCGTGCCAGTATCGTAACCGTACCAGCATCGTAACCGTACCAGTATCGTAACCGTACCAGTATCGTAACCGTACCAGTATCGTAACTGTGTCAGTAACGTAACCATACCAGGAACGTAACCGTACCAGTAACGTAACCGTACCAGTAACGTAACCATACCAGTGTCGTAACTGTGCCAGTAACGTAACCGTACCAGGAACGTAACCTTACCATTATCGTAACCGTRCCAGTATCGTAACTGTGCCAGTAACGTAAGCGTGCCAGTAACGTAAGCGTGCAAGTAACGTAAGCGTTCCAGTAACGTAAGCGTGCCAGTAACGTAACCGTGCTAGAAACGTAAGCGTGCCAGTATCGTCACCGTGCGAGTATCGTATCTGTGCCAGTAACGTACCCTGCGAGCAGAGTGTATTTCCTTACCTCAATAAAAATTCGCGAAGGAGTAACGTAAGCGTGCCAGTAACGTAAGCGTGCCAGTAAGGAGCTATAATCTAAACGGGCACGGACCATATGTGAGTTTGAGTTTGTTTGATATGTTGTTTTCTCCCTTGCTACGAGGGTCCTCCGGTTTTCCTCTCTCKGTAAAATAAAACAACATGTGAGCAGTGTTGTCTGATAAAATACTTAATTAGTGTGTAGTGAGTGTGAGAGTACAGGGTCCGCAGTAATTGGCTCAAGCTGTTGCGGTGTCCCTGCCCAAAATAGTAATACTAACCGCACCGCGTATAGTRACAAGTGCCAGTATCGTAGAGCAGATTTCGTATGAGTGGGAAACGGACGGTACTGTACTGTGACCGTAATCGTACTGTAACCAAATTCTAGTTTCACCAAAATTCTGCAGGCCAGGTGCGGTAGCTGTGCGGTAACCGTGCGGTAAAGGTGTCCCACTCATACGAAATCCGCTCTATCGTAACGAGTTGTAAACTAACCGCACCGCGTATAGTAACCGTGTCAGTATCGTAACACTGTAAATATCGTAACGAGTTATAAACTAACCGCACCGCGTATAGTAACCGTGTCAGTATCGAACACTGTAAATATCGTAACGAGTTGTACACTCAACCGCACGTGTCAGTATCGTAACACTGT